GATGATAGTTATATTATTGCTGAGTTGAACTTAACATTTAATGAATCAATAATGAGCTAATAGTCATTTAAACAAAATTGAGTGGTCATTAAATAAAATCAATATTCGGGCAATACAGTATAACTGAATAAGTCTCCTAAAAACCTATGACAATATTATATTATTTATTTTAAAAGCCTTATCCACATACTTCCTGATGAAAAAAATCGAATTTATGTTAAATGGCATGTTGATTACATTGGCAGCATATAATAATAACATTCGTATCAATATAACTTATAAATTATATGATACCTACTATTCTTCGTTTTATCTTTGATGACAAGTGCCTTTATAGTCCTTTATGTAAGAGGATTCCAGAAAGGCATTAGTATTTAGTTAGATTTAAATAAAATAAAACAGAAATCATTATAAAAACTTTTCATGCACATTCACCTTATAGTCAATTCAAATTTCAATCACATAGATGCTATAGAACTAATCTAATAAGCGTCATGCAATAGAGTATAATTTTAGGTATTTTTACCTTTGTCGTATCCATATATTATACTGTTATAGGTAAACCATAACTGCCTCTGGTGTTCATATTAATATATTTTAATATTTCATACACCTAAAAGCCAATAATTATTTTTAGCAGCATTAATTGAGGATGATTTTATAATTTTTTAGTCAACTATAGATATCCTGAAAACATATCCTCAGCCAACGTCCGTCAAAGTGATGACACATTATTACCAACTTACACTAGCTGGTAAGCATAACAATTATTATTTGTTATTTACATAACTTTCAAACAAATTTTCAGTTTAACTGACCTAAACAATATCTAAATATCTAATACAACAAACTATACGAATATATCGTAATAATCATTGACAGTTAATTTTTTTTCAGATTATTTCCGAAAATATGACTATGGAAAAATCGGGAATATCAAACATTACCAATCCAGTACTCCACCGAGTTATGATTTATCTCAAGTAACGGCTGCTACGTACATTTATCATTCAAAATACGATGTAATAGCTCCACCAAAGGTAAGAAACAACTTGAGATGTACGAGTATTCAGTTAATTTTTAAACGGTACCTAGTACCTACAATCTAGCTATAGCCTATAGGCTATAGGTACAGTATAATTATATCAAGGATCCATCATATATTAACTAGAATAATTTACAGCAAAACTGTAAGCTATTGCAAACCAAAATTTAATACATTATTACGGTAGTCGTAAACATTTTATATGTAGAAGGTAGTAATATATGTAACAGAAAATATTTATACAAATATACAATTCAGCATTATATATGTTAAAGGTTGACACCCTATGAAAGTGGCCGTTAACAGGAGTTATATGCTAATGATATAAGTATAATAAGTAATAATGGGGGTCGATGAAACAGAATACTATACATAACCTACATTAATTATATGTAATACAAATTTAAGATTAGACATTATCAGATAGGTGATAAAACAATTGGGATCATTCTTAGCATTTTAAAAATATTATAATTTTATAAAGTGAAATAAATCATTATAGTTAAGAAGTAAAAAACTTCTCTTCCCGCAAAGATAGGAGTTGAATTATCGCTTTAAAAAAGTGAATTTCGACTATAAGGTATTTTATTATTTTGAAAAATAACATAATATTATAGGACATAGCTGATACTAAAATATTTGTGAGTACTTACGTATATCTTTTAGCATTTTATTTGGAAAAAACAATATATGCATTTTCTAAATCAGGAAGAGTAATTAACTTTGAAATTTTAATTTGAATAGTGTTTTCTTGAAAACGCCACCCACCGACCGGCCACCACCACATTGCTTAAAATATGATAGCTATATACTTCTGAGTTTGTTTTTTACGCCTTAGACGTCTTAATAGAAATAACAAAAACAATATATTTTACAATACCTATAATGTATATTATACGTCAATACGTCATCATTAATACCAGACAAATATAAATTTAAAAATTTAAATACTATTCAAAAATTAAATTACCTAGATACTCAATATAATTATATTTTTTATAATTATTTCAGGATATAAAATGGTTGGTACAGAGATTGCCGAACGTAAAAAACGTCACTATGGTGAAGAAATTCAGTCACATGGGTTTTGCTACTAGTCCATATTTGAGACCTATTAACATTTTAATAGTTAAACATTTATTGGACAGTAAATAGTAAAATATAAAATATATTATATAGATATTCAATGAACAATGAATATCTCTTGTCAGATTTTAACATCATATGTACAATTATTGCACAACTATGGTCTATACCTAGTTTTATCGATTTAAACGATACATTTAATTAAAAAATAATATATTCAATAACTTTTTATATCTAATAATAAATAAATCTAATGCGCTTCACAAAAATCTGTTCATATTATATTACTCCTTAGTCCTTATAAACGAAAACATCTTTTGGGGTTTTTCTAAACCAAATATTATTTAGGTACCCGTGCATAAATGTATATATAAGTTAAAATATTAATAAATTGCGGTGGCGGTTAAACTAGGTGAAAATACGCCGAACTGAACCATACCGATGCATAAAACAACTTCAAATTCACCTTATATGATTGGGATTTATTTGAGTAAAGGTACCCTCCATAAATTATATTATTATTAGGTATGTTTTATCAAAGCAACTCCATAGGCGCAACAGGACCATTATTTTTAGACCCACAAATTGTAAAGGATTCCTAAGCTTTCAGACTTTCAACTCTGGACTTTAAGCTATCAAAAATTAAAAATGAATATCTATTTTAATAACTACTAATTCAGAATTCAGGAAGACATGGTCCATTTCTCCTCTCTCAATCACCCAATCAATAATGCCATACCAATTATTTTTACTCGGTTGAGGATTTTTTAACACTGGCTGATTTGAACTAGAAGTAAAACAGTTGAATGGGCTGAAGCATAGGTCTATACCAGAATGATATTCCAATGTATTATGTAGAGAAGTTTTTTTTTGTCATATTTTTTAATTTGTTCTATCTGTACAAAATATTTTTACAATAAGCACAATGATGGACAGACACATAAGAGGGCTTAGTTGACTTAATTGAAGAGACTATTCAATAATAGTACATCATGTAGAAAATTAATAAGTTCTTTGGAGTGGCTATAGCAGGGGCTAAGCCCCCCTTGTTTGCACCTATTAATATTATAATATTATATATAATCAAGTAATAACTACATTCATTGCTCCACTCAAAATCTAAAATTCTATGTAATCATGTGAAGTCGAGGAGATTTGAGGATTTTTAAGATTTTGGAAATTACATTTGGTTAAAACGATCTAGGTTACTTTAAAAAGTTTAAAACAACTAATTAAAAAATAATTGAAATGTTAATGCCACGTCATCTTATATTTTTCTTTAGTTGAAGATAATAATAATTCTGATTAATTGTAATTTGAGGGTATGTTAGACATAATAAGTATAATTGTACTTAGGTATGAATGCAATTTTAATGAATTTTTTTTATTTTTAGTTAGGTACAATGAATGATGAAAATTAAGAAAATTAAGAACCAAGAGTTTAGTAGGAGGCCGGTAATCAATAAGTACATATTTATTAAAAATAACCATTGTTTAAGAGGAAATACTTCTGAATTTTAGAATATATTAATAGGTACACAACTTGATTGGAAGTACCTATATGACTTTAGATAGTATAGGCTCTACTGCTATAGGCACCTACCTAGATGTATACCAAGAGTACATGACTAACTAGTAATTACTAATTAGTATATTATTTGTATTGATAATTTATCATATAAATGTCGAACGATTCAACGATTATACGAAATAAAATATTAGTAGGTATTTATTTAACTCACCTACGATATTTTAATACACCTACAAGCGACATAGCCACAGGTCATAGTTACATCAAATTAAGCTGTTCTTACTATTTCCAACAAGGTAGTTAGGTAAGTGCTTAATTTGTGATAAAACTAAGAAATAAACAGGGCATGAGCTATGAATAGGTACAGGTACAGCAGTAATTAAAAATATTTTTAATTAATTATTTAATAAAATGATCCAAGTAATCCTACCACGATTCAAATAAAAATACCTATTCAAATATACTCTCACCCACAACTGAAGGTTTACAGATAATAATAGATATATGCCTACCCAAATAGTTTATATTTAAATAACCTTACCCGATGGCCGGCGATGATAACCTCCAGACGAGGGTGGATGCAACACTGCCAACACTATGCAACTATGCAAGTCCATTTCGACCGTTTGCTAACAATGTGGCTGACTATGTGTTATAGAACTGTAGGTAGGTATAAGGTATAAGTGTTTAACCTGGGGACTATAACCATAAAATATTTGACCAACTAGGTACCTAATTAATGTATGGGTATAATTATATAGGTATAAGGTATGTATAATTCAGTTAAAAAGGCGACCTTTCCTTCCCCCGCCCTCAATGACATATTAGTCTGTATTCGCCCTTGCCTTTACATGTTACAACACTGTTCTATGATTTAATATTCCATTCGCGATGTACCCATTGTTTTTTTTTCATAGACAATTACAATGATCAATAATAATTATGATTATTATGATTAGATATTCAACATTAAATCGATTTTATGATGTTCATCGCAGAAACGCGAACTGTAAAGCGCAACCGCGTCATTTCAAAATTTTAAAAACAGATAATAACAGTGACACTGTGTTGACCGTTTTTAAATTTTCCTGATAACTCGTAGTCCGTCGTTATCAGTTATAACAAAACAATAATATACCACACAGCAATCGCAATCCGTTGGTTGGATACTTCGGCCTCACGCCCGCCTTTTATAAACGGCGTTTTGTTTGTTACCTACTTATATCTGTAGGTACTTAATACTTTTACAAATTGTTTTCTCGTCTTGCCGTCACATTACTTATTATTAGGTGTATCATTAAAGTCACTTGTGATTATCGTGATTTATAATCGTGTACGATGAACGCGGACAGCAATAATGGCGCATATAACTTGAGGAAGAAATCACGACAAACCGACGAGTGCAAGTCCAACGATGGTAAGTCGACATTGACGACATAAATAGTCAATACAACAATGCTCATTCAATTATATGTTCTGCCAATTCTTAGGATTAGAATATATTTGTAATGTGAACAAAGCAATGAACAAATGCACTGATTAAGAATTTGCTGTCAGTTTTTTATATTAATGCATTTTTGTGGAAAATCGTTGATTTAAAAAGGGCTATCGATAATAAAACACTTTAATAACCTAACATACTCAAATTCCAAATTATTTAAAATTAAATTGGATGATTCTTCCAAAGTAGCAAATAGTAGCAGCTGGAATCCTGAAAATAAATAAATTATTTTAATGACTATCCCTAAAATGTACATTTACACCAATGCCCGCAGCCACAGTCCACAATACTTGTGTATAGAGAAATATAAAACTAAATTAAACACAATTATTTGAATATTTACTAACAATGATTTCTGTGTTCGTAGGTACCTAGGACCTAAAGAAATTAAAATTAACTTTTAGGCCTTTAATATATAATACTATATTATATTAAAATGATTAAAATTAAATGAAATTATTCATACATTTCTTTATTAATTTTGATGCATAGTAATGAATATTCTTTTAATTTTACTAGAGTTAAATTTTATTTTTTCATCTAGCTAGTTATCATATAAAGTAATGAAGTACACCACACATCTGCTGAAACAGTTAACCGATTATCAGATCCAAAATTCTAAATTCAAATTACTATCTAATTCTAGTTTTTAGCCTTATGCCGTAAACTACACCATAATTTTCCCTGTTAAATGCTTGTTGGAATCTATAAGTTCAATTGAATTGTATTTTGATAAAATAACTTATATACAGTTATTTGTTTAGATTCAATGTTTGCGGCACCGACAAATTTATCTGTTGATCAGAAGACTGACTGTGGTTCGATGTCCATGATGGAAGACAAACAGTACTGGTGTGAACAATGGGTCCTGGCTCATCGTGAAGGAAATATCCCTGAAGAAAAAAAATATGTCGCTAAGAAATGTAAAAAAAAAAAATTTATGACAATGTAACAATTAAGTTATTATAGAATTATAAGATTATAAATAATGACACTGAAAATTGATCTTAATGTTTAAAATATTTTAATAATACTCAATAAGTATTAAAAAAATAGTATTTATTTCCATTTCTATTGATTTTTAATTTAAGGATATTAACTATACATTATTTGTTTAAAATAGGTGTTGTTACGAATAATTCAGATGATACAGAGTCGTATAAGTCTAGCTTGGATTTAAATAACTTGAAAGAATGCAAGTTGCAACAACCTAAAAAAAAGAAATTGGACTTGGATCGGGTAATAATGAGTTACTGTTGTAGTTGGGTAGAGTGCAATTATGAATCAACTTGCATAAAAGATTATCTTCTTCATGTTGCTGAGCACGTTGATTATTTATGGACTGAAGAATGGCAGGGTTCTAAAGAAAGTATGTCAGTCTAACATTGTTTTTATTTTTTTACTTTACGTTTTTAAAAACTAAGTATTATCTTTAGAATGGTTTACATGTTCATGGAATAATTGTACGTTCCAATCAAACTGTGAAGTAAAATCTACAACTCATGTAAATTTCCATGCATATCACACACGGCTTAAATGTATCGGCTTGGCTGTTTTAAAACTCTGTGAAATACCTGTATGTACATGCTTACTAAAAAAACCTGTACATCAGCAATTTTATTTTTTTAATTACTACCTACTCTATATTTTATTATATTATATTAAGGGATGTAAGTTGAACGGTGATGGTGCTAACATCTTACCAGATTTACCAAGTGAATTTGAATGTAATTGGAAAAATTGTAATGATCGATTTGAATGTATGCAATACTATGCATATCATGTGGCTCAACATTTAGACTTCACAACATTCAAAAATTCCAACTTCATCTGCCCATGGACAGGTTTGTAAATAACAAATGTATCTTTAAATCTTTAAATTGTTTTCATCGGCATCATCTATTCTGGCTTTTAATAATTTTAATCTTTTACACACTTTTTTCAGATTGTACTTCACAATTTACTGCACGTTACCGATTAGTTGATCATTTAAAAAGCCACACTCAAGAAAAATCATGTGCTTGTCCTAACTGTGGTATTATGTTTGCCACTTATACTAAACTGAAAGATCACTGTAGGCAATCAAATAAAGGTAAACTTAAAAATAAAAATAATTAACATATTATAATTTTAGAAATTCTTGTTTTTCAGACAAAAGCAATCAATGTAAATGTTGTAAAAAAACATTTTCATGCGAAAGACTTCTAAAACAGCATGTTCGCCTTCATATAAATTATTTTAAATGTCATCAATGTGATGCATCATTTGCTAGAGCGATACAATTATCCACTCATATACGTTACCGTCACTTAAATATAAAACCATTTGGATGTCATTTATGTAAATCCAAGCAAGTATAACATGACATAATTTTTTTGTGATATGCTAAATTTTTAATTTGTAGGTTTGTGCGCAAAGTAGATCTTACTACACACTTACGAAAACATGCGCCAGGCCCGCTTTTCAAATGTTCAAAGGATGGCTGTGATTTTTCATGCCGAAGCGAGTACACGATGCGAAAGCATATTGGAGTAGAACATTACAATGCCGAAGAACTGTATAAATATTATTGTCATATATGTGGTGATTTGTTCCTAAGAGGTTCATTTCTAACCAAGCATTTAAAAACAGATCATAACTTCCATAAACCAGCTGGCTTGAAACGTTTCAGGTTTTTTATTTACTTTTTGTATGAATTCATTTTTTAGTTGTATTTAATTTGTATTGATTATTGGTATGCAGGTACATTGAAGATGACGATGGGTATTATAAACTTCAAACATCAAGATATGAATGTCTAGACATACAAGAACAAAAGAAAATTAAGTTGATCAATCCCAAAAATGTGGTTGTCAAAAAAAAAAGTCAGACTACGGGCAATGTTAGTTTGATATTTATAGTTGTTGATATGTTTTAAATGGTCTTTATATTTAATTATTTGATTCCAGGGTAAGCAAGCAATAGAGTTTGTTGTTGATATTTTATCATGTACAAGTGATGAAGAAGACATTGATGATGATTTGATGAGTAATTAAAGATAAAATTGATTTATCATTATTATACAATATTTAAGATAAACAAAAAAACTATTATATATATTAAGATTTTGTGTGAACTTATGAATTCTATTTATTATTAAAATTAAAATTTTATTCCTAAGATTTTCAACATATTGAAATTGACTGTCAATACAATCACTATTATTTACTAATTAACATAATTTGTTGTAGGTTTGCCTCAGAATGAAAAATAATTATATTTATTGATTAGTGATAAAAATGTATTCATGTGATAATAAAGTATATATTGATTAAAGTAAATTGATTTGCCTTTTCCAAAACTTGTTTCTATATATCATCAAACATATTTTATAAGGAGGACGCTACGCCCACATGTATGAACTCCACCACACATATGTACTACATAGCAAAAACTGTTTTTAGCGAACCAACTATACGTTCTCTGTATTCATAGTTAAAATTCCACAAGGCTCAAGGAAGAACTTTATGTTTGTTGTAGATTTTTATTTTTTGACTGCACAAATTAATCATGTATATAATAAAATTGATACAACTTTTTATGTTCTTAAAGTGATAACTTTAAATATATTTGTGTTATCCTTATAATAAAGTTGCCCGTGAGTCGTGGAATTTTGGGAATTCTACTATAAATACAGAGGAAGTATAGCTCTCCCATGCGAAACTGTTTTTGCTATGTTGTACATTTGTAAGATGGAGACAACACATTTAGATGTAGCGTCCCCTTAGATTTAAAGTCCAAAAGCATTATTAATTAAATGCAGGTTGTATACCTGCATTACAAGAGCAAAATTATTGAACAATATAATGTTAAAATTGAATTGCTTACTTGAAATTATTAAGCTTTATTCGTGTTTGTAATTTTGATTTATATTAGATTTATTTATTTAAACTTAAATAATATAATTCAGTTTCGATTGAGTAATATTAATAAAAATTTAACGACAACTAATTCTTCGTAATTTAAAATTCTAAATAGATAATTTATAATTATCTTAAATAGTCTATTATAGTAAAAATTACGTCTGTAATTGTGTAAAAGTGTCATATTCACCATGCACATAAACATTTTTCATGTTTTTGTATATTCTCTTCGTAGAATGTAGTAAATAATTTTTCAAGATTTTCTTGATTTAAAAATTCATTGTTCATAGAACAAGGGACTACAAATTTTAAAAAATTTTAAAATTCTTTCAAGTACAATTATTTGCAATTGCTCAAATATATTATACTTTTATCATATATTTAATATTTCTTCTAACAAATACCTTAAAAAGTAATTTAAAGCAATAAAAAAATAGCACACTAGACATCAGGATAATACATGTCTTCGAATCGTTTTTTTCTGATTCTTCTGCCCTTATCTCTATCCTTGCGTTGTATGTAAGGCCCATAATGATCATCAAGTCTTCTCTCATTCAGTGGATCTTGTTCAAGTTCAAAGAAACGTCTCCTGGCCTCGAAATGTCTGGTTTCAAATTGGATTTTATAAATACGTTCCCAGTCATAAACTTCAGGTACAAGACGATGTCTTGGTCTGTGAGATGTTAAAACTTTGTGTCTTTTATGTAACCATACCCTATAAAAAAATATATTTATTACAATTTGTAAGTTTATTATGAACACATCACGTTGTTCTTATTCTTAAATTGAATATATTATGCTCTGGAAATTAATTAATAATTAATATTATTTTAATTTACCTTTTTGTAATATCTTCTATGTTTGCCACTAATTGTTCTTTACCAAGATATGGACACATTTCGTGATCTCGTGATTTGGGGATATTTACATAACAGCTCAAAAGGTCTTTTAACACATCATCATTCCAACCTGCAAGCGATACATTTACAGTATGTAATTATAGTTTTTTTCTATGGTATTTAATAATTTATTACGTACCAACAATGCGGTTGTCTGTGATGTCGTGAAACAGTTCTGTTTGTTTAGTTCCCCAACAAATGTTACTGGGAGCAACTGGACTGTTAATTGCATCTTGACTTTCAAAGAACCGCATAGTATTTAATTGATACATGTAAAATGACCATGTTTTCCCATTTGTAATAATCGATTGATTAACAAGAGGATATGTGATTTCATTGCAAATAGTAAAACCTGCAAACAATTTTTTTTTTACATACAAACAACTAAAACATTATTAACTAAATAAAAAAAGTGCATTAATTGATTAAACATTTGGAATATTTAAAGATTTTAAACTTTGTACCAATTTTAGCCATTTTAAATTCCAACTGAGAGGATAAATTAACTTTTATATATGAAAACTCTAAAAAACAGACACTCTTGGTCACTGAAATTGGGTCCACAATTTGAAGGTGTCCATTATAAGGGTTTCACTGTATCAAAAATAAAACAAAAAGTTTTTACCTTGATAAGAGGCTTGACCTATCAACCAAGCAAATGATGCTAGTATTGCTTGGGCATGAACAGCTTCTTGGTGTTCTGATTCACCAAAATTTGGTGGTCTATCTTCTAAGTACTCATTAGTGTGTATGGACAACAAACCAAATTTTTGTTGATCATTTGGCCAAAAACCTGAAATAATTTTTAGTATTACATGTATTTTGTCAATCTTAAGATAAATATATTTTTTTCATTACATAATTAGTAACAAACCTGGTATACTGATGCCATGTCTCCTTTCATAAGGTAACTTATGATAAATTGTAGGATCATAATCATAATTTGGGATACCAAATTCTTTAAATGCAGTCTTTGGAATATCAGAAGAGGAAGATTGAGCGGTAGTTAGGGTCCATTTATCTAGGGGAACTGAGGGCAAAGGTAAATTATGTCGCACCTGGATTGTGGGTCGACCAAAATAATGTATCCATCTATCAACAGGATTTTTCAATTTCTCTTTGGGCACATTTTTTTTCTTTCTCATTTCTTCATCTTCTTTAGTAGCTGCAAATCCATGTACATTCCAGAATCCTTCAACTCGAGGTTCATAATCGATCTATTTAAAATTAACGATTAATCGTTAAACAATGATGATTTGATATATTATAAATTAAATTGATAAAAACAAAATCATACTTGAGCTTCAAATAAATGTGGATAATCAGCTGCCAGATTGGCTAAGAATATACGATTGACTTGTTCTGCTATACTTTTAGCCAATTCATTTGTTGTTCCGGATTCAACAATACTTTTATCAGATTTTATTTCTTTACCTCTGCTTCTAAAAAGTGATTTAATAATTTTTCAATAATCACATCCAAATAATTATTTATGGTATTCATTATTACTAACCTATTTCTATTGTATTCAAATACCAAACTGTCCTCTAGCTGAGGTTTTATACGATCGATGAATTGTTGACAATCATCATTTGAAAGTCGATTAGGAAGGGTGTCTACTTCATATATTTTAGTCTTTGTTACTGTCTGAGCAAAGGGCAAGAAGTCATAAGGTAGTACTTTGTCTTTTACCACTAATGACTGCCAACCATAATATCTAAGTAATCGATAAGGTATATGTTAAACAATGTAATATTTTGTAATGTTCAATCTATCAACCAAACCTGGGCATGTTTATTCCAATAGATTTTTCTTCAACGGTACTGAGGTTACGAATCTTTTCATGGTCGCTCAGTTCCTTACGTAACGCTGTCGGCTCGGGTCTAACATCTACAATAGGTAGATACTGTGCGCGGCTCTCTTGACGACAAACGTACGCAGTGGCAAGCGATCGACCAAATACATTTGGCGCATTACATTTGGGAATTCGAACGGTCCACATGGCTATACGAACAAATGAAAAAAGTTTAAGCAAATGCAAGAGAAAATTCATGACAAGAATTTGATAAGTCGTTTCACTTACCGTACAGCCGATAGGTAATTCAACAAAATCCTAACAATTTATTATTGACGTTCAATCTTCGAACCAAACATTACTTTAATTATAATATAGTATACGAATTAAGCATAAGTTATGTATGATAAATAAATGAACAGTTAATTCATTAGTCGTAGAGTTGTAATTTTGTAAATTATAAATTTTTATCCATCTAAAACAGAAATTTGGTAAATTGCAATATTTGTCATGCGTTGTCTTATTATTTATCAGTTATTCAGTTATCACCGTTAGGGACACTGAGGTAGATAAGAATATGCTTATCTATCTCAGTGGTGGCACCATAGATAATAATATATAAATTTATATTTTTTTATTATCTATGGTCATAGAACTATGGTTAAGGTGAAAAGCACTGATATTTTCATTTTATCTAAATTGACAACAAAAAAAGGTCAGTTTTAAACACTGTGGTCAGTGTTGTTTTATCCCAAAGGCTATAATAACGCCTATATTAAAATATTTTTTTCATTTTTTGTCTATGGGACAGATAAAAACATTGATTATTAATTCAGACAATCGAATGCACGGCTTGCCTAGACGCAATAGCACAGATTGAATTTTTTTTTTTTAAATTGTACTGTTGCTGGGTACCTAAATCTAGTTTAATCTGTGGTAAAAGTTTCTATACTTATCTTTCAATAAAACTGCACGCCTGACCCGGTATGTCTATTATTTATATTTGTGTTTGTCTCTTCTCTTCTCTTCACTCTTAGATAGTTATATATTTAAAAATGGTCAAAGATCCATAGATCATTTATTTACATACGTTTATAATTTTAATATACATTAAAATAAATTTTATATTTTATATTATACTGATCTAACTAGGACTAGCCCAACTAGTCTCTTAGCAAAGCTTTTTTAGGGGGGTGTCTTAATTTTTATTTAAATGTGGGATAATTTGCTCACCCACCGTTGAAGTCGTCAGCCTTCATATTAAATATCAAGTATGAAATAATTAATAGAACCATATAAGGCAACATATTTTATAGAAATCTTCATCATAATTTATGGTAGGTACATATAGGTAATTGGTTGATGGGGTGGAGGTGTTTCAACACCCTAAACACCCCATAGTTATGTCACTGGCTGGGACTAATCTAAGAACCAACAAGTTACCAAGTTAAACTCAGTGAGCTATTCTCAGCCAGACTTTATTTTGGTAGATTCATTATTCATCTTATTTATTCTAACCGTTAAGAACAATGTTTGTAAATGAGTCTTAGGCTAGTTAAAGTTGAAAACTAGGTGCTTTGGTACTTGCCCTATCCGGTCATTCAATGACTATAATTTACTTATTTACTTATCATTGTTCATTATTATTTTCACTTTTAAGTGTGGTCATAACACATTAAAGTATATTAACTGTATTAAATGATACATTTAAATTAAATTGGTTGTTATGATATATAAATTTAAAAATTTTAATAGATATGGACCTAATAATATAATAATAGTATTGGAAATTAGCCGTGCATCCCGGCATCCGTTATTGCATACAATGTTAGTATGATCATATGATCGCAATAACATGAATATTTTTAATTTTGCATTGAATTGTCATTTTGGGTAAATACTAAATAGATTTTCATAGTTTTTTTTTTTTTTTTGGCTTTTCTTGTATCTTTGTTATTCAGTAAAAATTTCAAATGATTTGTCATTTATTATCCCCACGATATCTTTATGCTAGTTTAAGTAACACAATGCAATTCCAGATTTTTATAACTGCTAAATCATAGGTATGAGTTTCTGTTATTTGAATAATTTTTAATAGTTGCTGCAAAATGCAAGAAATTCTATTGACCGTGTTTTGTTCAATTTATTGTAAAATTAAATTTTGGTTTTGCAAACCAGTCAGACATCTTTGATTAAAATGTGTTCTTGCCTACTAAGGAAAGTATTTAAATTTTAAATAAAATGTAACAAATACTCTTTATGTTTTTATTAAATGACTCAAGATGTATGTTTGTATATACAAATAAAGTATTTCTTTAGAAAGAAATGTTTGTGGTAGATAACATACAACATTGATTACGTTTAGCTGGTAATTGTTATTAGCAGTGCCATAATATAAGTAAATTAATCTTTTGTGAATTTTCATATCTATCTTGATAAGTCAAATTGAATGCTAGGTGAAGACAATGGTGTGCAATATCATAGGACGAAATAGGGTCCATTTGTTGCTCAGGCAATACCTTAAATATGTGTGGTTGGGTATTGATAGTCATCTAAAATCATTAGAACAACACCACTTTTTTGTATGATACATGCTACTGGTTGAAGGTGATGATATACATAGATAAGTACCACAATTAAGTAATTTACCTATGAAATTGTATCTTGTTTATTTTTTTAAATTTCAAAATTTTTTACTTATTTTTTAGGATTTATAGATCTTGTATAATACCTGACCGCTTAATACAAATTCATCAGCCAATTGATAATTAATAGTAGTTTTTCATTTGCCTTATATCATGTTTTTGGTAAACACTATCCTATACTTAAAATGTGCACTTACAATGTTCCAGCCTAAATTTGTAATAACCCATCTTGTATTAATTTGTCATTAAATTTGTACCAACTACCAAGTCGTTGAAATACATAATAAATTATAAACCATGAAATACTGAAATAGTAAAATTTTCCTACTTAACAAATAATAAAAATATATGAAATTGTTATTATAATGTATAGCGTATTAGTAGGTGGGTATGCATTAGAAAAAAATGTACAAATTCAGTATTATAGGTATGTTATATTTGATTAAATTAGTTGCAAAATGTGGTTTGGTACTTAAATTTGTACAAAAATTAAAATTCTCCACATTTTAAATATTACTTATCTACCAAAAAAATAATAGTACTACTCAATATTATTAATCTATTAATTAAAATCAAAATACTATTAAATCCCATGTAATCTTTCAAAAGTATGTTGAAAATTAAAAATTATCTTAAAATGTACTTATTTTTTTAGTAAGTGTAGAATAGCTGACCAATGAAACGCTGCAAAATACATGTTGTAGTATTTAAAAACTATAAATAATCATTATCTACCAAAAATATGTTATCCTAAAAATGTGTTTTGTCACTATTGAATTATGCCCAAATAACATATTATTTGGTAATTAATTAGATAGGTAATGCAAATTTACCAATATCAAAACTAAATTATTTACGCATTTTTATAAGAAATAACCAACAACTTTTATCTCAAATTTACTTTCAGACTCAAGTTAGTTATGGCCTTTATGGTTCGAAGATTTTATTCATCAGTTATTGAAAAGACTGTTATGATATCAAGATCAACAGATGTATTTGAAAACCTTGCCTTGGAACACTGGTACTACCGACATTCAGACTTCACTAATAAAAATATGTTGCTATTGTGGGTAAACAGTAATTGTGTTGTAATTGGCCGCCATCAAAACCCTTGGTTGGAAGTAAATTTTGATCCAGCTACTGATCTTCGGATAGCAAGAAGGAATAGTGGTGGTGGAACAGTATTTCACGATGATGAAAACCTCAATTTGACATTTTTCACAAACCGTGACATTTATAACAGGAAACAAAATTTAGAAATAATTGTTGAAACATTAAAAAGTGAATGGAATATTGTAACAGAAATTAATAAACGAGAAGATATTGTAATTGATAATAAGTACAAAGTTAAGGATTTAAATTAATGTCATTTTTTCACATAATGAAAATATTATTCTGCAGCTTTAATGTATTTGGAAATTAAATTTATATATAGATATCTGGCACAGCTTCCAAGTTGGGAAGACCTAATGCTTACCACCATTGTACATTATTAGTTAATTGCAATCGAGAATTGATGTCAAATTTATTGAGAAAACATGAAGTAAATTGCACAATAAAATATAATTAAAATATTACATAACTCCTAACATTGTAATGTTTTTTAGAAAAATATTGAAACCAATGCCACAGTTAGTGTAACATCAGATGTTTTGAATTTGACACAAATTAATAACAAAGTGTGTATCAATAGATTAATGACTGCTATTGGATTACAATACCTGAAAACAGTAGGTGATTCAACAACAGCAAATCAAGGATTTAATTATGTAACACCAAATGAACAAACATTCCCTGGTAATATTTTTTTTTTACATATTATAAGTGCTGATTAGAGATTTATATTAATATAAATAAAAGGATATAACTGTGTATATTTCTTACAAATAATATAAAATATTCAAGAATTTAATATTAATTTTTTAAACAGGTTTTAATGAAATAAAAAATGAAATGGAGAGTTGGGAATGGAGATATGGACGAACGCCAAAGTTTAATATAACTGTGAAATGTAATGAACTATCTGTTATTTTATCTGTAAAAAATGGCATTATTGAAAATGTTGCTACAGCTTGTAACGTAAGTTTAAACAATTTTGTTAATGAAAAATTTAATATGAATGTAGTGGAAGAGATAAAACAACTTTTAAAAACCATCAAAATGTAATTTCATAGTTAAACAGTTATGTTTTTATATTGGATAATTATTGTAGTAAAATATATGTTGTGTTGATTTATATTTTAATTAAATATTTAAATTAATGATTACCTATCTGACACAATTTGATTCCTTATCATTTCCATTGTACAGTTTGATATTTCATAGGAACAATATATTTTTTCTTTTGTTTAGATTCTTGAGCCTTGAATGCATTTCACCTACTGAGCAACCAAATACATGTGGGGTTTCTTGCTTAATTTAGTGGGATGTATAATGCCACTAAAACAAATATGTAATGACTAATGACCTATTATGCTTATTGTATGTCAATTATGTTTTCCCTTTAAATAATGATAGTTAAAAAAACATTTTATCGTTAAAATTAAATTATTTGAATTTTATAAAAATTTAAAAACTTATGCACATTCTTGTTGTGTGGTTATTAATCATCATGTATAGTAAATTATAATGGTACACAGTAATTACAATTTAAAGGTTTAACTGTTTGTTTGTTCTATTAAAATGATAAAGATCATTAGGAAAATCAATAGGACAAATAAAATGGTATGAAATATAGTTAAAAATTATTATACTAAAATAAGATATACATTTCATTTAATAGATACATTTATCATAACAAGAATAATGAATATTTATTTTTCTACATCTAAATAATCTTAGCCAATTATATTAGGTTGGTAATCTATAATATAATTATTATATTTTATAAATAGTAATATAATGCGTATAATCCTAAGCCGTGATTATAATATACGGTCGAAGACTAAAATCATAATCTATGGTCTGGCATTGCTTTACAGAGAGCGTGCATACATAATACATTAAAAGCTTATAACTAGAATATACAATATATATTTGATCAGTCAATCCGAGTAATAATTATAATAAAATAAACAGTGAAACTCGACTAGTACCTAGTCTATTGTTCATTTAAAAATGTGCAAGTTTACTATTACCCTGCACTGAATGACCTTGCATTAGGAATGAAAATATAAAAGTGAGAAACATTGCTTTTGATTGACTGTATCCAACACCACTGACAACCAACTACCATTAGGAACTTTTCTGCTAGGAAAACAAACATTGGATAATATTCTAAACATATTACAAAGAATGATAAAGTTCCAAAATTCCAAGTATACATTTATTAAATTTTATAATGTTTTGTTTGGTACGTAGAACGTGGTAAAACGTGCTTGATTACTAAAAAATAAAAATTATAATAATAATGAAATTAATATTTGCTTAAGACTTACAAACTGTAGGTAATAAATGGAATTTAGTTTATCTAGTACAAGTTTGTCATTTAATAGTTCTACGGGATACATTTTTAGTTCCTTTAAATTGCACCACATCATTGTCTTCTTGTGAATAATCACATGAAATGTCTTTATCTTTCTTTGTTGGGTTTTCCTTACGTTTTATTAAAACACTCATCATCACTACTGAAACCAACAACAAAACAGCACAGAAACTTATAAGAGGTAACCATTTATTTTCTGTTTCTTTTTCAATTTCCGACAACATCGGCTGGTACTCGTGAATTTCTCTAGTAACGATTCTGGCTGGTCTTGCTGCCACAGGACTGTGTGGACAATTCGCCTCGCGCACATACCTGGCCCACGTGCGTTGCACACTAGATGTGAGTTCTCTTCCGGGTCTTCTTAGTTTAGCTTCCTTAATGGGCGTGCTCTTAGGATCGAAATTACACACCAATCCTTTGGTCTTTTTATTGTTTACATTAGAAGCAATTGATTTCGTAGAACCAACCAACACGCCTATATTTCCTTTAGACGATGCAGCCCATTCCCACATATCCACAACATAACAGTCGCATTTCCAAGGGTTACCAACCAGGCGTAACGACATAAGTTGATGGTTATATCCGAATTTATCGGGTTTAATTGCCGTTATATTATTGAAACTCAGGTCTAATTGTTCCAACCCAGTCAGTGATTCTAAGAACTTCATAGACCCTTCTTCGTCACTCTTTAATTTATTATCGTTCAACAGCAACTGACTAATGTTTGGCGTTGTTATGAAAGCGTCGACGGGTAAATAACTCAAATTGCATTTACTCATGTCCAAATTCTTTAAACCAGATAATTGGGGCGGTAGTATTGGCCCTTCTTCGGGAACTTGAAGAGGATTTCCCGAAAGTCTTAACTCTTCCAAGTCTGGATATGTGAAGTTATCGTAGAACACAGTATCATTTAGACGGCTAAGTCCACAATTATTCAACTCTAATACTTCTAAACGTGTAAGATTTTGGAATAACCCTGATTCGAGACTTTTAAGTTTATTTCCAGACAAAATAAGAGTTTTTAAAGCTGACATTTTTAAGAAAGTCGTTCTTGATATTCTTTGCAAGTTGCTATAACCCATATCTAAATGTTCCAATGATTCCAATGGAGATAAAAGTGCTGTAAAGGCATTGTTCAAAGGATTTCTTGATATGTCCAATTCTTGTAAGCTAGTAAATTTGTGGAATGTGTTAGCAGGCAACCGTGTCAATCCACAGTCTCTTAATGAAAGTTTTACTAGTTTTAATAAAGGTGATAAAGCTACTGCCAGGTCTGCTGCTGATAAATGGTTTCCAGATAATATGAGGGTACGCAATTTCGTAGCATTAGCGAAAGCATCCTCAGACAAAGGTCCTTTTAAATGACAGTAACTGAGGTCAAGAAAATCTAAATGAACTAAATTGTGACCTAAAGTAGTAGCCACGTCGAGATCAGATAATTCATTTTCAGCCAACACCAAACCTCTTAGCCAAGTATTATTGAAGAACACATTTTCTGGTAAATTTGATACACCCGACTGTCTTAAATCAAGATGTTCCAATCTTCCTAAATTACCCAGTATTAAAGTCCAGTCAACGTGGCTTTTTAGACTATTTCCAGCCAATTCCAATACCGTAAGGTGCCCAAGACTACTAAATGCTACGCTCGATATGTGTGTAAGATTGCAGTTATTAAGAATTAAATGTTTTAAACTAGTAAGAGGATCAAATATGCCCGGTTCAATAATATGAAGAGGGTTCCCAGAAATATCAAGTTTGTCTAGACCACTGATATTGGCGAAAAACTGTGGTGATAGTTTTGTTAGATGACTATTTGCCAGGTACAAGTACAGCAAAGACTTTGAGTATAAGAATGGACCTTCAACTTGTTCCAATGGATTTCCTTGTAATTCTAACGTAATTAATCCAGCGCTATCCCTGTAAAAAATATAACAAATGTTGAATAAGTTTTAAATGTATAATATTAAACATTTATTTAGACACTTTCTTCATGAGATCAATGTTAAAGTAGATACTAAGTAAATAATAGAAATTTTTAAATTTAAATCTTTATTATTTTGTATTGTGATAAATATATTTAGTTAAAATAAAAATATATTGACGGCAATTTTAAATGAATGATTACAAAATTACAAAATGAACCAACAGTTTTCGTTTAGAGCTATTAATAGGAACTTATAATAGTTTCACTTTTTGCTTAAACAAATATAAAGCTATAAAACAATACAAAAATAATCACTCAATTAACATCAAGAATGATATTATATAGGTAATATATTTAACATTTTTCATATCACATTTTAAGATTAGATAGATAAAAGAAGATAGTTTAAAGTATTATTATTCTGTTTAGTGTAGCCGTTCAAACATTTAATGTACGTTAGTACCTACGTCGCCCGACAATGGAATCGACCTTGAATAAGCAAACGTGGAAACTGTGACTCAATTTGTTTAATTTAAGTACGATTGAAGTTAAACGCCGAAGTAAGAACGCGTGTCCTTTCATAGGCTAAATATCCTTTGCACAAACGTATACATACGAAATATCTAGCACGTATGGTTATACATTAACTAGGTGGGTTAGGTAGGTTTAAATGAACTTACACAAATGCTTCAGGATCAACATAATTGATCAAGTTAGATGACAAATCTATATCCAACAGATAATGGAGTCCAGCAAACGTTGTTTTTTGAATTTTCGTTAAAAAGTTTTCAGACAACTGTAACGTCCTAAGTTTGATGTCGGCCGGGAACGGTTCGATTTCTTTTAGGAGATTTCCGTTCATATTAAGTACGTAGACATTGCCGTCGAGACCTTCATATGGCATGGCTGTCAAGTTACTTTCCGAACAGTCTGTCACCCAGTTAATTCTGAAGAAATGACAATCGCAATCTTCTGGACAGTCAAGCTGTTCAGACAGAATGGCACTTGTATTGCATACGTAAGCCAATAGTGTTGCAAACACTATAATGGATATACGTGTCGCCATGTTGCGGCGGATTTCTCAATTCAAACTCTGAAAAATGAATAATTTATTAATTTAAATTAAATAGTTGAAATTGAAATACTTAGTCAAGTACGAGTTCAACATTAATGTGTATTAAAAATTCTTATCTGTTAAAATTTGTTAAATAGGTACCTATATATTATAAAAAACCGTATCAAATCGTAAAAAATTGTGTATGGAGTTTGATGTTATCGATTCGTCAAACGTTTTCGTTTGGTGTCAAGGCACTACCAAGGACTTGGCACAGGTCTCATAACTAGTAAAAATTCATCATTCGTATTACGCTCTCAAAAATATTTTCAGAACATCATTCTACTAGCAATTGAATGGCCCTATAGGCACGCCCTGTCATACGAACGACAGTATTAGTATTGATTTAATTAAGTCTGGCACGCCCCGTGTGAACACTGAACATTCGTCTAACACTATCTGAATATAAAATTTATAAGTTCTAAAAAATGTGGACACTGATTATAATATGGCTTAAATGAATATGTATGGAACATAAATGTCTACTATAGTGAAAATAATGTTCATTCTTCTATTAAAATCATAATCACTTTATGATAATCATTTTATTAATGTCTTATTAATAATTATAGTTTATAATAATAAATGACATGTATATTGTTTAATAACAACTATGGCGATAAATATTATTTATGTAGGTTTTAAAACAATGCTTGAGAAATCACAAACTAACTCGAAATTACAGATTATTAAGTGTTATTTTTATTACAGTCGTTTTATCTGGTCGCCCAAGACAACAGTGTTGAATTACTAAGAATTGTGGATTCACTGTTAATGGTAAAAAGTCAGATAACCTTTCAAATTGTAATTCATTTTTAGTTAATAAATGTAAAATAACAATCGAAGTACTACATAATGGACTAGATCGAAATACCGAACGACATATTTATTTGTCTTGTATTAAAGTTGATTGGTATTTTTTTAAACTTTGATGAAACATTGTCATCGATGCGTATAACATGGTATGAACATACTTGATACCTATATGTGAACGTGAGAGTCTACATACACAGTCACTTTATCGTCCTTGATGTACCCCCCTTTCCATCTCTCGTTTCTAATTGATTAATTATTAACGACATGTGTACTACAGTAAATTGCATGATTTACAAGAGAAATTAAAATATACCTATGAATTATGATCGAGTACACAAGACAATTGCTACTGAAGTAATGAAGTGAAAGTAATATAGTCCCTGACAGATAGAAACCATTTAAAACATATTATAACGTCTATCCTAACAAAAATGTTACCACTAGTATAGTCAGTACATTACTCAGTAAAGACGTATAGTACATTAGTACCTAGTGGCTAGTTACATTATTATAAACATATAATAAAGTTCCGGCAAATTATTCAACTGCAAAAGTACAAATAGGATTCATAATTTTTGGGAGGGTAAGGTCATTTCATTTTAAATGAAACTGGAATTAAAAATGAATTAATAGCTTTTCTCGTTATATAATAATTATTACAACCTATGGAAAGTGGATGAGATGAGAACCTATATCATGTATTTGTATGGAGGTCGTAGCCCTACATATACTTTATTTGCACCTTTGTTCGTCAACAAATGTTTTTTATAAGGTTGTAAATTGTAGTAGTATTTAGTTTACGGGAAATAAACCTATATAATGTTATAATCAAATTAAATTAAGTTTTCAAAAATATACACTTATAAAACACTTAACACATTAAGTTTTATTTACATTTTACACACTTCCATGGTGTCAATACATGTTCGATAGCTTAATATTTTATAGAGTAATATCATGTTAAAAATGATTGCTAATGATGAATGACATATTTTATTACTCCAACAACACCAGCACAAAGCATTGGTGTAAATTAGGAGGCTTAACCCTCCGTCCAAAGATTTTCCTAAATTAACCTCGTAAGTATAAAACGTATTAATTGATATTTCTAGCCGCTTTGATTTTCAACCAAATTTACGCCTATGGCTCAAAGTAAATATCTTAAATATACAGGCAGATAGGGTGGTACTTTAAAGAGGTTAGGTCATTCCATAAAATTATTGGATAGGTAAGTACTAACCACTGTACAATGTAAAAATAAGTATTTTACATAAATTACCAAGATTTTAAAGCGTAACAAAAACATTTTTCATATGAATAATAATTTTAATTATTTGTTTCAAGTTTTGAAAAATAAACACTATCGTGTGATTTAAATTTCATGAATTTTATATTTTCATGTGGTAGAAATTATAATAACGCCTTGAAGTTAACCTCGTGGTGGTATCATAATGTCTATGATATCACTGCATCATTAAAATATTTGTTCAAATCAAGTGATTTATACATTTTAATTAACGTTAGGGCTGTTGGATCTGTCTAGGATCACTCAGATCTCAGTAAGATTCAGTCAGAGATGACCACAGCCCAAAACAGTATTCATATAACATTATACAATCAGAAACTGCCAAAAATGAAATAAATTGGGATATTTTAAATAAAATAATAACCAAAAATATATTCCTTTGTTCATTTAAATTTTTACAAGTTTATAGTCATGTAGGTATTTTCTAATTTTTAGTTCAACAACTTACAAATGCAGTTTCTCGACTTTGTGTACAAGATAAATGTTAAGATTATGCTACAAGACAAATTGAATTCTTCTATATTATATTAAATTATATTATAAAGGTGAGTAAGTATACTAAATATAGAAAAAGATTTGAAAATTGATATCAAAAGAATTATAGATACATTTTCATCTAAAAATGTATATTTTATACTAAAAATATTTTGTGTATTTTAGTAATACTCGTAGTTTTATTTTTACTAAATTGTATACAAACTATTAATGTTTATTTTTTATTAATGAATTGCATTGATAGTAATTTTATATTTGAGGGTGTTACCCCTGAGGGTATCTTTGTCCAATAAATTATTAGCCCCCCCTACAATTATATAAATCTCAATAAGTTATCTGATCATAAACCATTCAAACAGTTATGTAATCGTTTGCAATAATTTTTAACACTGTTTTTCTTTATGAATATTAATAACGATTTGAACTGTCCTTTTGTAGGTACATCGTAACATCGTATCTACATAATATTATAACAAGCGTTATAAGAAAATTATTCAAGTAACTTTTAGACAAAACAATTCAAATGAAAACAACATAGTATAGTTAACTACGTAGATATATTTAAAAAAACATAGGTATTTCTTCAATGTTAGTATGTTACTTATCTCAATGAATTTCGGCAAAGAATTTATGAAATTATAACGCACGGAGAATATTGTACCGTCAAAATCGTTTGCATTAGCTATAATTTTTAACCATGCACTGCGCCTTGTCTATATATAGATACGTTCTTTATTCTTGGATCTTTGTCATACCTACGTAGTACGTAAAAAACTCACTATTTTTTACAAAAACTCGAAATAATCATAATCTAATTTTATTAAGATAAAACATTAAACTATCTTAACTGAATACCTAATCGTAAACGTATATAGTTAGTTTACATGCGATGCAGATAAGATTCAAATACGCCTACAGGTATTTAATAATTTGGGTAAACGTAAAACATTAGAATGAACATACTACCGATAGAAACAACTGAATAATTTCAAACCTAAGCTATATACTTATATAGGTAGGTATAAAGTATAAACATCCATAAAGTTGCAATTTATTTACGCACGCATTAATTAGTTCGTTAATATTCTTATACGATTCGACGTACGAGCATTCGTCTACTGTCAATAGACAATACGACGTGCGTTGAATACGCATACAAAATCAATTCCGACGACAGGTATATTGTACATTTTATAATAATAAGAAACATACTTTTTTTGTGCGAATTTCAGGTTAAAGGAATTTTTCAAGTTTTTGTTTGCAATTGTACTCATAGATCAAAAATATACACTTCTGCGAAATTATTATTTATTATACACACGTGTTTATAGAGATGCAAATAATTATCATAATTATAAAAATTATTAACGTTTTCGTCACATTGTTTTTCAACTACACGAAACGCGCAATTCGTTTCAGATGAGATCATCATAAACATTCGTACAAGTTGTACGGTAGAAGGTAGGCAGCTATAGGTAGCTGACTATTATATGAAAATTTTTAAGCAAGTTTGCTAAATTCACCGTTAAAGTTCGATTTAAAAAAAGTATATACCGACCGGTTATAAATTATAATAATATATTATCTTATGTTATTATATATGGCGGGTAGTAACTTAATTAGAATGGGAGTGTGATTATAGCGACTGCTATATTTATTTTTAAGTTGTAGTAGGTACTTAACATAATATCGTACCTAAATATGTAAATAATATTAAATAGGTAGGTACTGATTTATTTTATGTGTTTTGTAGTGAGTATTTTATACAGTTGATATGTTTGATGGTAATTGGTACGAGTGGTTAAAAATGTTAATCCCTCCCAAATAGTTATTGGAAAGATTTTTCGTATGAATTTGAATACATACTTATGTAATAGGTATTATTTATGAAATATGAGTACACCCTGCCGATAATTTTTGCACACGCTTACGGATATGATATAACTATACAGGTAAGTGTCTATATATAACATACCATGTCGAAAATTTTGCAGATAACTACGATAATATTTTAATAGTACCTACATTATATCAATTTACTGAAATAAAACTGTCGGTTATGGTCGTTTGGACGTATAATATGCGTATACATATTGTAGAAAAACGCATCCTACAAGTCCGCGGGCCGTGAATATAATATGTATATATCTACACATTTTTTAAACTTGTTATTGTAGTCTGATCTCGTGGACCTTGGCGAAATTAAATTACATCCGTTAGAAATAATAATAATAATAAAAAACTCGCGCAACAAGTGCCCAGAGTACACATATAATATATTATAATATGCATACACGCACACACACAGACACGAGCACGCACACGTATCCATATAATAAAACCTATGTACGCGTATCGGCGTATCGCGTATATATTAAAAAAAAATTTTCTAGTTTGCAAATAAATTTCCCGACTCGGGACGTCACGTCTGTGTGTGTGTGTGTGTGTGTGTGTGTCGTATATCGCGATGTTCGTTTTTTTCTAAAGGCAAAAAAAAATATAATCCCGACCAGCGCTGTCGCCATAATGATAATAATATTATTATTATCTCTTATACCTATACGTAATAACTAATAATGTTACTATGTCGTATAGGTAGTTCGACATGAGCGGAGCGGCGGGTTACGTCAGTCGGACAGTGGTGGTATAGATTGGTACTGTATTGCATATAAATATATATAGCCAATAGGTATAATATTATGGTGGGTACACGCGAATTCCGAAAACCAGCGTGCATAAAAACATTTTCGATTTCACGTAGATCGCCGTGGCACGTACGCTCACAATTGTTTTTTTCAGTTTTCATTTATATTATTTATTATTTTTTGTTTTATGGCTAATTAAATCGGACGAGGTCGCAGCCGCCGCCGTCGCCACCACCACCGACGTGCATATTATGCGATCTCGTATCGCAATAATATTATTATGTTTATAGGTAGTACCTACCTAAGTAGGTGCACAGTAAAATAATAATGTTTTGATGAAGGTATTTCGTACACGACGACGGATGTGGCGCGTGCGATTGGCTAAATATTATATAAACTCGAAAAATAATATTATTATGTTTGTCGAACGGAGTAAATACGTCGCGTTGAAGACGCACGTAATAAAAAAAAAAACAAACCCAAACCCACATTAGGGTTAACCTGATATGTATTAATATGTATTATTATATACACTATTGGATTTTAGTTCGTTCGCCCCGCGACGCGGTTGACCTTTCTCGTGCGGTGGGTGTGCTCCGACTCAGCGGCGCATAATGTAATATTATTTTATTAAAATATGTGGCTCGCTCCACACGTACAAATATTATGATATACGTTACCCGCGAGCAGGACGCATATACAATTATCATTATCATCATTATTGTTGTTGGAATATACGATATAATCGTCTTAAATAATCGCCAAATTCGATAATATCAAAATGCCCGTCCTATATAAAATATTATTACTACCTAGTTATCACGATCGTATACGATGCGACATAGATGCGACACCAGTGAAATTTAGCAGCAGCCCGGATTAGTTGAGACCGACCGGATTCGAAAAACGTTAACCTCGGCGCGGCCGAATAGGTTTAAACCATCGACGGGGGGGAGCGCGTAGAAGTGTCAAGGGCTTTTCAAATGTATCGATTATTTGTTTTCCCGTAACGGCGACCGTTCGCACGATTATCGCGATGCGCCGATGCCGCGGGCACGGGGACGTATTACAGGTACACCGCTCACCACACCTGGCCCATCATTCCTTGGTTATTCCAGATTGAAAACGAAAGCAAGTGAGTACCTCCATCCGATACATAATATAGCTGGTACATATAATATCGATGCCGATAAAGGCGTTTAAACGTTTGACGAGCGTGTACAGGTAAAAAAAAGAAAATCGACCATTAATTGTTATATAATATGAGCAGAGATAGTCGGTGGCAAACACATAGGTATTATATAAATATCATTAATACAATTGGTATGTTGGAGTAAACGTCGCGAATGCCTGTATAATATATGATCATGTATTGACTTACCCCAATAAAAAATGGTTTGACGACCAGCGAACGATGACGAAATTATCGAATCGACGTGGACCGGTTCGAGTGAGAGATCGGTATTAACACACTCTCACGACTATACCTACCCCTTTTTTTGCTGTCGAAGATAAATTCGTAAACAAAAACGTTAGCACCCAAGTGCTGCTGCCGCAGTTGTTGACGTTCTAAGCGTCCTACGTGCACGTTACACCGCACAGGGACTCGCGACAACTGGTGGCTGGATAGTAGTGGATGTAATGATTTCGGAATCGGTGAATCGTTCTTCGAGCACCGCGGAACAAGTCGAGCCGGCGGGGACCCTTGGTGGGGGGTTGATGTCGGTGGTGGGGCGGCGGCGGCGACGCTCGCGTTCGCCCGACCGCCGTCGTCTCCCGCCGCCGCCGACGGGGTTTTCGCAACATCGCGCCGCCGCATGACTCACTCTCGCACCTATACACACGCGCTTTGTTGTTATTATGATGATGTTATTCGACAAAGAAAAAGTCGTTTTGTCGATTTAAAATCTAAATCAATCTAAAACGTCCGTCCGCGGACGAAAGGGCACTGCAGGTCTATTAATTGACCAATGTACGTACAACGTATTCGTTTTAATATTTCTACCTAGTTTAGAACAATAACTTACAAACTTGTGGTACGAAAAAAATGCACACATATAATACATCCTAAGGTATAGTGTCAACGCGTTGACGGTTGCGGGAGTTCGGAATGCGAAGTACCGTTTTTTTCCCATTTGCGCAGTGGCGCCGGCGCATGACAGATGAGTGTGAATTGATTGAATAAACTCGCGAGATGTCGAAACAACATTAAACTAGGCGATGCCTGACTGCATTCGAACAGGCATACGAGTCGCAGGAGTCGTCCTGGACTAGGCTTTCACGGCTCACTCGTCCAAGTGGTCTACGTTGGTAAATCATGCCTACACCGTGGTCCTTAGTAGACAGTGACTAGTAAAGCTGCTAGACTGATTTTACAGACATCATATATTTTAAATACAGTGTGCTCACGATTGCAGGTTCCACTATAACACACTGTATAATATATAGGTGCATAGCTTGCCATGCGGACATGCAAAAGCACAGGATCCTGGTAAATTGTGAGTGCGGATGAACCATTCTCAATTCAACCCTATTATGTCAAATATTAATTTAAGTAGTTTTTAGTGTTTGTGTATGGGGGCAATTTCATTATTTTGTGAGGTATAAACGTTATTTATAAACGTTTATTGATTATATGACTTATATTTTCTGTAAATCGACGTGATGTCGAGTGTTACTGCTGGGTACTACTCACCTAACGCACTCAAAAGCATGTGAATTCAGCTAATATGCTTATTGTAACCATTATTGCAGATTGTATACTTCTAATAAATGTTAAAAAAAAAAATATTTTCTGTATATTTAATTGATACAAGGGCAACCGCTTGTATTTAAATGTCAAGTTTTAATTACCTAATAATAATGCTGTATAAGTTAAATTTATGAGAAATCCCAAAAAACGACATAAACGTAGGTAAGATTTAAAAAATCAAATACAAAAAAAGTGCAACAAACTATGTTTGATTGTGTTTTTTTATTTTTATTGTCGACATACCACATGGTTAACTTTGTATACCTATTGTCTATTACCTAGTAAGTGCCTACTGTCCTACTACCTACACCAAATTGGTTAGTTTTAAAAATAAAAATTCAAACTTAAATTTCGAAAAATAGACATCATTTTCCTAATTTTTATTTGAAAATTCTATAAAATTCAGGATTAAGTGATGTTCATTATATTAGAATATAAACTATTATTTGTTGATTCGAAAATCAATGTAACAGACGCATCACACTATAGCAAAATGCAATCCAAGTAAAGTCGAGCTCTTATTAATCTAGAATTTTTAAAACAATAGGTTTCTCGCTATTGTCATATAATAGACATGTCCATATGCAGGGCACCTACGAAGGTCTGTGAAAAAATAAGTGCTTAGGAGATGTGAAAATGTTGTATTTATTTAAGTCGCCAAAGCCATCAGAAATAGATGGAATCCTAGATACAAACATAAGAACATAACCAATGTTAGGAACTCTGATTAGGGCTACAGTGGGATTATATTATAGGTTCAATTTAATGTAACAAAATATTTATGTAAATACGTAGCAAATTGGTAGTTGGGTATTGGAAAGGTTAAAGCCAAAACAGTGTATAATGATAAATTGATAACGAATTGCGGATGTATAAAAAATTAAGACAGTATAAATTGATTTTTTTTTATAAATTATAATTATATCGACGAATTCAATTACGATTTCTCTAGACCGATAGTTTGGTTGAAATGTTAACAATTTCTAATTATTCAAGGTTGCGCGAATCAGTAAATAATGATAAATAATTATTTTGTGACTAGACTTTTCTACATAATGATTATTAACGTTTATGAGTTATAACTCATAATATATAGGTTCAATCTTACAATATGGTATGTAAGACTTATGGAATAAACAACACCAGCAGTGTCGGTTATAAAATTAGAATAATAGTAGGTACAATTGTTTATAGGTAAACACAAGGACAAAAGTTAAATGTAAAAATAATTTACTTATGACCAGATCAAAATTTTAATGCAATTATGTTGTGGTGTACCAAATTCCTAAATGCCTTTACAATGAGACCTTTTTATAAAAAAATATTTGACCAAATAGGTACGTAATATTATCTTAATATAGCTAATAAAGGTAAACAATGGCATAATAGTAATGTAATAGGTATGTAGGTACTGTATAGGTGTTCTAGTCTAAAATGTAAGATAAGATTAATTTATTTTTAAATTTAAGATAGTAAAAATTTGTGAGTTGTTATAGATATTAGATAATAATTAATAAATAACAATTATTAAAAATTTAAATGGATACAAAATAAAACTACGTCACTTCGTGTATACGTATGCTACAGTGTATCACAATAATATTATTATCATCGACAAGAGCCCACCACATATTATGCAATTATTGCGAAATAAAATGATTTAAGGTAAATCATAAATTAAAAAATAATTATTAGCTATTGAATTTTAGAACCAATTAATTACTATAATTCATAAACAAAATTGTTTTGTTTATTTGAAAAATTGTTTGAATTATAATATCAAAAGTAACAAATGCAAATAAAATGTATATTAATCCGTAGTAGTATTAATTATTATTATTTATATGAACTTGATTTTACGTCATGCACTCGTTCAAGCCACACTGCTACAAATCAATTCAATGTAATATAGCCTATAAGAATGCTCAGACCTATACATGATTTAAATAATATTCAAATCATCAGCAATTTTATAACATTTGTTTTATTTTGACTTTAAAAATATATTATTTAATATAAGTAATTAGGGATCTGTGAATATTTATGTGTGGAAAAATATAATTGAAAAAGAAAAACTAGTGAATTCGATCTACTGTTAATTAGGTTTCGAGTGTACATCGTCATTTAATAGGTCACTGTAAATTGTAATGGATATGTTAAATTATAAATAAAAGGCAAATTATTATTCACAAAAAAAGATTGTAAGAGGTTATATAGTGTAGGTAAAGCCTCTACTTCAAAGGATATTTTATATTTTATTTGTACTATAGAGGTACTCTTAGTAATGTAGTAGGATCAACTAATTTTTGCCAAAAATATTGAATAAATTATATAATAAACATTATTACCTTATAAATTATTTATATTACAGTATTACACTATATTATATAAGTCGTAGAATGGGATAATAATAGATACGTGGAATAAATAGCTTAAACTATTAGACTAAATATTTTTAAAATTGTATTATGTAATGTGTATGACGTCTGTATAATATATGCATAATATAATAATAATAATAATATGCGTGTTAGCAAAAAGTTCCAAATCTCCGTACGATTAATATATTTTTAATTACAACGAAATTACGAAAATCATTAAAGGAAACATAGATTATAATTTAAAGTGTCTATTTTGTTCAAGTTTTTAATTCAGATATCTATATAAAACAAAAAATTTTGAATAGTAGTATATTTTGAATATTTTTAAATTTCTATAAGAACAACGTTGGATACCCTATGTTTTTTTATTTTTCCTTTTTTGTATGATTATTTTAAACACTGTTTGTTTTATATTATAATTTTAAACGTGCTTGAATCAAATAATATTTATTACCTATCGGATATATTTATAGGTTCAATCGTCACAAAATACAAAATTCATAATTCAATTTTCAACTACGAATCATTCGTGAACGTAAAATATTACCTTAGATTTTTTGGACTAAGTACAATTTTAATTTAACCGATTTTCAGGAGGACCATTTTCGTAGCGCTTTTCTTATTGTCAAAAACACGAAAATCAACAGTAAAAATTTAAAAAAAATAATTAATTTCCTAACAAAATATGGCATGATACTTTTCCACTACACTTTATACCCCAAAACATATAATATGTGATTCCTCAATTTCCCACGCGTAGTTTTCATACATTACCTACACAGGTTGCACTTACTGCAGCTCTTCGTCGTGTCCGCAAATTCGCCTTGTGTGGATTGCTTATACAGTTATACCTGATTAAAAGCAACAGATATGCCATGCCAAAAAAAGCATTCATCTGCCATATGAAAATTGCATGTTATATACATTTAAAAAATTTCTAAAATGTCAATACACTTTTATATATTTTTTCTGTAATAGAAACCTACTTTTTTCTTCTTAGTTATCGACCATTTACATTCAAGGTTCTGAAGGGCTAACGAAAAAGATATTAATTACATACACAATCAACATTTTTCATTTATTGTTGAATATTATAAAAGATTATAGTCCTAATTTTAAAAAATTAAAAATAAAGGTTAAATGTTTGTATTATTCGTAAAATATACACCACAGAAATTACCCATTTTTAATAAAATAAATCACCATATTATTTTTAAATGTATACTGGATTTAATTTTTTCTAAATACGATTACTGTATACCTACCTATTACTATTTAGATATTTAGTAGTATTAATAGTATTAAATTAATCATTTATAATCATTAATCATCAATGTGGATCACTAATTACCAAGTTTATAGTATAAATTGTACATACGTATTATAAAAGTAGAAATAATTACAGACGTAAAATTAATTTAGTAAATTCAAAAACAATAATAATTGTTAATGCAAGCAATAATTCGATTATAGTAGGTATCTGGTATACGTATATTGTATACACTATACCGTATAGAACACACTATAGTACAAAAACGGAGATAAATACGTACGTCATTATTGACCAATGCCCCCCATAAACCTTAAAAAAAAAATAATAATATTTGCAAAATAACAAATCATGATAAGCGTGAATGAATTTACATGACCATTTTCAGAATTTTGCAAGAGCTTTTATACAAATTAATTTTTAATTAGTTTACCAACATTTGAATTTATTGAAAGTTTAGTAACACCAGCAACCCAATTAATTTCGAGGATAGTTGAAAGTCGAATTACCAGTTCAATAGTAATTCAATAGAAAATATACATGAGATAATTCAAATTCACCGTTCATATTTACCAGACTAAATAATATTTTGATTAATTCTATCATTCTTGTATAAAATGATTCAACTGGCTGTATACAAATAGGTAATTGCCAATTTACTATTATTTGTATATGGACATATGGTTATGCTTATGACTCATGATATCAATCTAAACACAATGAAATACTTTGACTTTAAAATACACAATGGTCCATAGGTACTCGTGCTGAGTCGTACACAGGGTACCCACTCGCAATACTTATATTTTTTCATCATATCATTGTAAAAATTAAAAACACTAAAACAGTAAGCAATACGGGCAGAAGACTGTTATAGTGTCGTACGCCGTAAGTACAGTAAACAGGAGATTCGCCCAGCATACTCACCCCCACTTTTTCCTTTACAAATGAATTTATTCTAATTCTGATTTTTGGAATTTTTAAATATACTAAAAGACCATATTTTCAAATTCTCGAATTTTTGGAACTACTTAAGGAATGTTATGCGGTGATACAAACTTCTGTTTTAAAATGAGAACTACCTCTTTTACTATAAATTAGTTAGTGGATGATTTTTTTTTAAATGTTGATGTACCACATTCAAAATTCGAATGAATATGTATAGTTTCTTAGTTATTAAAATGTTTGTATTAAAGATAATAGTCCTAAAAACTGGTGTGTCATATAATATGTAAAATAGACTTAAAATTGGATTTACCTAGTATTTATATTTTTACAAATAATTAATACTGATAGGTTGATGTTACTGACTACAATTTTCAAATCACCATAAACCCATATTATCTTATAAGCTCATTATTGTGGACGTTTTATCCTCAGAACTCAAAGTTGAATAACTCAAAAACTGCTCTTACGAATTTTGGTTTTGATACGTCAAAAATTTCAGAAAAATGATCTACTGTATAATTTATAGTTGAATAGGGGTGTTCTCATTTGAAACCCAGAAGTTTGTATCTCCACAGGACACTTCTTAAGTAATACGAAAAATCTCAAGAATTTAAAAATACAGGTTTAAGCGGCTTAAAGTATACTAAAAAATTGAAAAAATTAGATTTTGAATAACTGCATTATTGAAGAAAAAAGAGAGTGTACATATTTGGCAAATCATCCTGTACAGTAGTTCAAAATTTCTATAAAAAATATTTTCATACTATCATGAATTTATTTAATGTTTTAACATTACCCATGTCAACTTTATTGTGTAGGTGGGATATTAACATTTTAAGTTACTGGTATATGTGAACCCAAATAAAACACACAAACAAATTTCGTCATTCCTGAACTATGTCTTAAACATTTTTCACAAGTTGTGATGGAGTTTCATTTAATTATATAAACAATCTTATTAGATAAAGACATGAAGTAGACTCCTCACTATGGGAGTTGCCAATTGGACACATTTTACTTGTTCAGTGCAATGAGTAGGTATATTTTTATTTTTAAGATAGTACAAATTAAACAAATACAATTAAGGAATACAAATAAAATAGAATAGAATATCAATTGTACTGTTATAAGTAGTTTAAATAGTAGAGCTATATCAAATTTATATTATACCAAATTGAATTTAAAAAATACTCTCAATGCTCAAATTCAGTCCATTTATAATATCGTCATTGTTTTCATTATTTGAATTATCGTTGTTTATTTTCTTCGATGATTTAGAAATACAGACAACGGTCCAATTCAACAATTTGAACGCAAGGATAGAAAATGTTATTATTCATGAAAGTAAACATAATAATAATAGTTAATACTGTAATAACTATAGAACAATTAAATACAACAATTCAAGTAGGAGTAATATTATTATTTCGTCATCGGTCAGCTCCGTCACTCGATATGGGAGTGGTTAGGAAAATATTTGAAGTGACTGAGGATGATAAAAATAAAATAGAACATTATTTTTCATTATAACGGAAATTAAAAGCAGGAACTCAACAGCTCGGCTCGGATAACAAGCCCGGCAAGTGCATAGACATAATCTGTCAATCTCATATTCTCCTAATCTCGTCTATCTTTTGGTACCAGACCCACTCCAGAAAAGTATTACTTTACACACTCAATAAAATATTAAAACTGTCCGTCACCAAGTCAAGTCATAACACCAATTAAAATAATGGACTATCACAAAGTAAACAAAAACGAGCTGTTCTATAATTGTACCATAGGTATTTTATGATGTGACAATAACAAACGAATAATAAACAATAAAAAAGTCCCTCAAATCAATTCCTTATTAAGTAAGTACTTGTAATTATCATTAGTTCTTATAATTTTGATATTAACCTAATAAACAGGTATTATTGATTCAAAACAAATTATTTAAAATGTTGTCTTGATGGTGTCTATGTGGAGAAATATTGTGATCGTTGAAATAAACACGAACAACAAGTATAATTGTTGTGTTTCTCGTAGAAAATGTGGAGAGAGAATAGAATTACAGTGCGTAATTTATTACAACAGATAATTGTTTATGTCAGCTGTGTATTTTACATTTTTACTCCGTCTCAGTTGATAGATAAATATAAAATTGATATTAAAATATGAAAATTATTTGAGTAAGTGAGTTACCATTATATTGCTTGACAGCAATGTTACCATACACCTCGGTCGCTGTAACTTATAACTTATAAGTTGAAATAGTTATACAATATAAACATACAGGTACCTAAATTCAATAAAAACTAATATAAACTTAACATTTAAGTTAGGTATTTAACCTAACTAATTCTAATATAATGCGTTCTATTGACTATAATATGTTAATATGTAACGTACCTTATAAATTATAAATCGGTACCTAAATTAATACTTAAATTTAGTTAAATTGTTATTTGTAATACTAATATATACTAATTTATTGTAATACTATAATAATATTTTGTGTTCGTGGTTATTCCAATTTTCGACGAACGTAGTCATCGTAATCTATAGCTTGTACTTTGTGTCTGGACAAGATATATATAATTTTATTATAAAGTAACCAACCCATAATTTTGAAAGGAATATATGTATATTTTCAAGCATCAACTAAAAGGTTATTAGCTTACATTAAATAATTAGATAAATAAAATAGTATCAATGTTAAGCTGTAATTATCATTTTATGTTTTTCCTTTAAACTTCAACAAAAGCTGCTCAAGAACGGCCACCTACTAATATTTAGTATGTAGGCCAGTATAATTATTAACATGCCGGTAGTTATCTATTTTGTATTTTTATTTGCTTTTTTTAGGTTTAATAGCTTTCAGGTGATATACGTGATTGGTTATTATATACTTTTTACATATTTATTTATTTAACAGGCTATGCCTTTTTTATATAATGTGTATTAAAAGTAAATTATGTAACATAAGCATATACTATATACATAATCAAATTAATACAACAATTGAATAAAGAAAAAAAGATTTTAAACTTAAAAATTAAGGTTCACGTTGGCGTTTGCCCTCAATCTTCTCATTTGTTTTATACCTAAATAATTTGTGGTGGTATGAGGGACATAAAAAGGAGTGGTATATATGAACTTAATTTGTTAATATTAGGTTGTGAAAGATGGGACGAGGGAGCAGAAAACAGTAATTTAAAATTATTTTTGTATTATTCATATTTTTATGCAGGCTTCAAACCTTGTCTGGAACTTATTCATTTTTCAAACAAACAAATTTAAGAAGTGGGCCAAAACACAATAATATTGGATTTTACATACCTACGCAAATGTAACGATGCTAAATCCAAATGACGCCACTGCAACTAAATACTAGGATTCAGGAGTCATGCCTTGAAGATAGGTAAAGGTATAAATGTTTAATATATTTTATAAATTAAAATACTAGTTAAATATAACAAAACTGGGGATGAAGGGATGAGCAAGTTCTTAAAAAATTACTCATACCAATACTTGGAGGATTCCCAAAATCATTAGTTTGGTTCTCGACATTGATTCTGATTAATTGTATATGTATAAAAAAACAGTTAATACATATATTATGAATTATGATATACTTGAAAGTTTATGAGTGACGTTTTCAACTTTTTTGAAAGAAATTAATTTTTGACTATTCTCAGGCCACGTCATGTAATATATATTGCGGTAAATATAAACTATCTGACTATACAATTGCTTTATCATATACTTTATATGACAACATTAAGCAGAGCTCGATATTATACCCTTCATCCACCTGAGAACACGCCTATGCAATTGGTACTATGATACTGTATGACTTCAATCAAAATTTTTAATTAAAAAAATTAAGTGCATAATTTAATATAACAACGTTTCTATATTATTATTTATCATAAATAATTAAATTTCGATCAATAATCTTCTGCTTCATCAGTACTTAAGATTTTTAGAAACTGATGAAACCAATATAATCAATTTAAACAAAAATAAACTTAACTTGATAAATAGATTAACAGAAATATAGGTAATTGTTGTCTTGCCTATATTATCTTTGTAAATCAAATTAATGTCCAACAATATAATATAATATACAGGGTGTCCCGTGAGGATATACCCATGAGCCGTAGAGTGGGACTTGTCGCCCGTGCAAAAACCGGTTTTTTGCTGTTTCACCTATTATTGATTAAAAATCAGGAGATTAATAAAATTAAAATGTTGAAACTTCAATATTTTCAGAAAAATGAACTCTACAAAATGGCTTCAATTTTTTTTTTAAATAATTGATAAAAAAAATATATTTTTTAACCTTTTTACCGAAACATAAAAAAAAATTAAAACATGAAGGGTTATTTGTAGACTTGTAGTGCTTATCTCTGTTAGTCTTAATAAAAACAAGAATTATGATATCTAAATTATTTCAGGAGATATCGCAATGAGTAAATCCTCACGGGACACCCTGTATAGATGGAAAACTGAACAAAAAATACCTTTCAACAAATAACAATAATCTTATCTTATTTTACCCAAACAAAATAATGTATATCATTGTTCATAATATATAATATATTTAAATATTTAAAAACATTGCCTCAAGCTAATTACAAAAACATAATTTAGGATAGTACTTACTACTTATACAGCCATATAAATACACACATTGTCATAAAAGTTTTAACAATTTATTATGACCTTAAATAGCAGTTTAATATACTAGGTAGACTTATTATACAGCAGTAAAAGTGTAGGTACGATACCAATTTACAATAATATATTAACTCAACAGATTTGGACCAAATTCATTTCCTTCTAACATAATTAAGTACTCACACACAATTTCAAATACCTTAGGTAGGTACTTAGATTTAATTAATTTATAATTATTATAGGTACCTCTTACTTATTACTTGTTTTGGATAATACCAACACCATTTTCATTATAATATATGAGCAAATATAATATGACTATAAAGTATAAATAATAATGTGAGTTATTTTTTTTATTATACTTTTTGAGTTAGCAGGAACAAACAATTCGTATAAAAAAAATATTGGTGAATTTATGAACAAATAACATTTTGTGAAAAATATTTTATGTAAGACAACAAATTAACAAGTAACAACGATAACAAACATGTTTTGGTATTAAACAACGAATACCCTGTCGAGTGTGGTTCGACTCCGGCACATCAAAATATACAACATTTACAAATTGCATTTACCCTGACATAATTTACTTTAATAATCTTACACAATATTAATAGCTGGTCCAATTCTAACATGTTTTAACTTTTGCCAGGGTGTTACCCCGCGATGTTCTTTTTAAAGTGGTTTAGAATATATATCACTGGCCAACTCATCCAGTGTAATTTCTTTATCTTCCTTTGATTTAATAACCGCTTGATCAATTTCTACTTTTATTTCACTATCGATTTTCTGAATAAAACACAAGAATTTTTCAATGAAATTCACTAAATACTAATAATTATTTAATATAATTTATATTATAAGTATAATGTATTAAAATTATTACCTTGAGATCGTCAACGATTGCTAGGTTGGTAGATAGAATTTTTTCTTTAAACGATGTAATTGGGTCTCTAGTCATCCTTACAGCTTGAATTTCAGCTCGAGTTCTGTAAGATGTGCCAGGATCCGACATTGAATGACCGGAATACCTGTAGGTAACTGTTTCTAAAAGTATTGGACCATTCCCATTAACACAATGATCCACCGCAAACTTTGATGCTTCCCTGACAGCCAATACGTCCATGCCATCTACCTAATTTTAATAATACAAAATTGACAGAATAGAGTTACTAGGTATTCAGCATTCATCTTGATTTCTTCAAATCATAGTCATCTCATCCATTACTGCAGTGACTCACACATTACTCAATGTGGAACTAAAAGGTAGATCTACAGTTTTTTCATTACTAGTATTTTGAGATAATAATAATAAAAGTTGTTAGTAATTATTAGGGCAGTGGAAAGGATGGGCCTATGTTACCCTAAAACATCACACAAATATGTTAGCACTTGTGCAAAACATTTTTTTTAGCAGCTTATTTAATGAATATCAAAACATAATTAATTAAAAGCATCTAAAATAAGAATGAACTTGAAGAAGACACGGTCACAAACAATACTTAAGTCGACAGTGCGTGAAGGCTTTCAAATAATCAAATGGTATACGGAACTGATTGACATTTTAATAACGTGAGGTACCTATTGAAATGATAATGTGAAAACTAAGAAAATAAAAGTAATTTGATGCCTCAATATTGTATTCATGTACATATTAATAATTTTCTCACATCATTAAATGGCAAAGAAGCTGAAATTATGGTAAATTATAGTATGAATACAGCCATATTGGACATATGTAGGTTTGTACCTACTAAAAATATAGAATGAATTAAAATACACATATTTTTTTTGAATAATATAATAGATTGAGTATATATTACCACGAAAATCGATTTTTATCGAGCATTTGAGGAAAAAAAATTTTAATCGAATCTTTAAATTCTAACGAATGCCGGGGTGGGTTTTCACACTATTTTTACCCAAATGCCAGGTATGTAATCGCCCCTGGTGTAGTAAGACGTGTTTGACGCTGACCGTTCTGAACTCGTTCCCATTGCATATCCATTGTTCTCGCAGACAAATACGCAGGGCAGGTTCCATAGTTTAGCCATATTGTATGCTTCAAACACTTGTCCTTGATTTGAAGCTCCATCTCCGTACAAAGCAAAGCATACTCCTCCTGTGCCTAAGTATTGTGCAGCCAATGCAATGCCCGCTCCTAAAGGAACCTAAACCAGAATTAAGCGAATAATAAATATCAAATGACAAATAGTATATGTATAGGTTAGGTTAGAGATTATCTGAGAACTAAACAAAATTATTTTATTTTTACCCATATTTGAGATAATAGTTAACAATTTCTTGTACGTATAATGGTAAACTATTAAAAAACCCAACTACTATGTTATATATGATATCTATACAAAGTATACTATATTTATGTAGGTCTAAATCGAAAAGGTCATATTTCCGTTTTATTTTGTAAATTGGGACTATAAAAAATTATAAGGCCTGTGATAAATGTTTATTATAATGTATAAACTTAAAATTTAAGTATACAAATTAATTAAAGTTCGAACATTTGAAGTGTAATGATGATATTAAATAAAACGATATACGTTTAACCGTTTAAGTAATAGTCTTACGATTTAATTTTACAAGATATAGGTTCCTTACTTTGCTATACTAGAGTATGCTCAGTGGAGTAATTTAGGGGGAGGGGATGCAAGGTGGGCGTTTGCTCCTATCTGATTTTAGAAGCAGCCCGATGGGCCGGTGCCCAGGCATGTTTATTTCAAATAACCATTACTATATTTTATTAGAAACATATTATTGAAAACATGACTATTTCTTTAAATTTTTTTTTTTTAAAGTTCTTATTTGGACTGGTGAAAACTTTGTCCCCCCCCTCCCCTCTATTAAAATCTGTGTTATTTAAGAACAGGAATACATTATGATTTATAGGTACTAACCTGAGCGCCGACGATGCCGTTTCCACCATAAAAGTTTTTACCATACATGTGCATGGAACCACCTTTACCACGAGCTACCCCTCCAATTCGACCGGTAAGTTCACACAGCACCTCCACAGGTTTTGCACCCATCAAGTACGTCCAGCCGTGAACACGGTACGCTGATATTATTGAGTCCTGTTCGCGGAATGCCGATTTCATACCCACTGCGCAAGCTTCCTATATAATATTATTGTATGTATACCCGATTAAGGACGTCGACAGCTTTGCCAATAAAATCGATTGCCGTTGAACAATCAAAATCAATATGGACAGGTACCAACCTGTCCAGAGTATAAGTGACAGAATCCTCTGACAATTTTCTCCTTGTACAAGTTACCGGCTGCCGTCTCTATACGTCTGATGTACTGCATTTGCTTGTAATAATTTATGGCATCTTCTTTGGTTACGGTTACTGTGGTACTGGGTCCGGATTCTAATTTGTGAAGTTTGAAAGCCTACACACCAAAAATGTGTTATTAGGTACCTTTCGTTTTAATACTTTACACGTCGATAAATAAATTAAAACACCTTTATTATGTATATTCAAGTAGAAATTATTAAAACCCATATTGTGTTTTTTATAAAAATAATATTAATAAAAAAGAATATAATATTACTTATTTGAAAGTATAAATCATAATTCTAGACTTGCTGCATAGTATTAAAAGTCGTTTTAAATATTTTATATTATAAGTTAACTTTTTATTTTCAAATATCATTCTTCGGGGGTTTTTATAGAACGCAACTAGCTATATAATCATTCTTAGAAATTATATAATCATTCTTAGAATTAATAGTAAATGCATGACTAAATAAAAAAATTTATTTAGTCATGAGTAAATGTATAATATTATCAATAATTGTTTATACCAATATATACTGGATGATTCACCAATAATGTCCACCATATTATTTTCTTTTAATACGTTATGACTAGTAATACGTAATGAATTTATTCAAACTTAGATTTTTTAAATTTTAAGTTTAGCTATTTAGGACCTTATAAGGATAATATTTTCAAATACTTACATTTTTATACAATTTAATGAGTGTCCTATGGCATTTATAACTTTTATTTTAAAATGAGAACCACTCTTTTTTTAAATTATCAAGGAGATGATTTTTTTCAAAAATGTTGAAGCTTATAAATCGGAATTCTAAGGAGCAGTTGCCGAGTTATTAAACATTAAGTACCTACTAAGGATAATAATCCACGATAATTGATAACAAATTTAATTATATAGGGCGTATAGGTATAAAGTGTATTATTTTATGTACAAAATATGATAAGTAATTATTATTAATTTGTTAAAATTGTATAATTTCCAAAATTACTGAGTATAATAAAAATTAGACTATACATTAATTTTTATATTTTATGTAAAAGCATTGATTAGGAATATTTTATAATTATCTATATTAAACAAAGTGTAATGACTCAAAAAGGTTTATCATTGAATACAAATTTAACACATTCATTTACAGTGACCCACTAGTCACTGGACACCACTGTACAGTAGAGTGATACCCACTTACCCGCCTTTTCGAGTAGGTAGGTTTTCTAATTTTATTTTAAATATTACAAACTTTTATATCAAATGTGGCTTCAGTTGCAAGGTTTCTGCATTGCCATGTTGACGTTAACTTCTGTAAAAACAAAATGAAATAAAGTCATTAACACATTTTTTTATCGAATCGAACTTATTTTGTTCAATATTTGGAAAAGTACCTAATTAGTATACCTCAGTATATTATATATTATATAACAATATTATGACGATTTAGAATAATTTAAAAACGTTTGAATAATTCGAAACTGTTTATAGTCATGTATTATTTTAATAATATGTACCAACTTATCAAAAACTTGCATTGCTCTAAATGTATCATTATTATTATAATTATATTTTTTAATGACGTTTTTATTGGCATGGTAAATTCTTGTTTGAGAGTCAACAAAAATAAATGTTGTCTCATAATTTCAGTAGATGACTAATTTATTATAAAATATTTTGTTTACTTGTAAACTAAATATAAATAATGAACTGTTTTCTTAACTATTCTATATCAAGGTACTTAAATGAAAACCCTTAACAATTGTTGTGAACCACAGCTAATCGAAAATATAAATTGTCGGTATATTGTTAAATGTATATGCTGCTATTGCCTAGTATATAGTACAGATACATCATGTTTATCACTACACAATATCAATGTGACAAAGTTGCGCAGTAGTAGATATTTGAACTTTGGGTACATCATTAATTCGCAAATAGGTAATAATAGTTATCGATCGGCAAACACCTTTCGCCAGTAAGTACTTACCATTTATAACACAGGTACAATATCATACTACAAACACTGTCTTGCCTGTTGACAAAATAATCAAATGTTTGGCTTAGCGCCCGTATACTAAAATAAACGCGGCTCGCTTCACCGGCTTGTCTGCTATTCAATGTTTTAACCCTCAATAGGCACATTTTCGTTACGTTCGAAATGTATTAATTTTGTAGTTTATCATTCGAGGAAGTAAACCCATACTTTTGCCACCCTGTTTACTTACACATATTTATGACCCGTGTTTGGCTCGCTCGTCGAGTAATAATTAATAATATATGTCTATTTGTCATCACGCTGCATTGTCTGGTGAGGATAGATTACACTATTAATAAATTCTATTGCATGTTAGTAGTTGAAATTTCGATTTTAAATCCTCTTTCGGGAGTAAAATTAGCCCCCCCCCCATTTCTGACAATCACCTAATATGCTTAGTGTACGACCACGGTCTATAGGTATACAACTATACAAGAGTACAAGACCATGCCTAGACCTACCTCACAGACCACAGATTTGTAAAAAATATAGTAGTGCTTTGCACGGGGCAGCATATGCAGCAAATGTTGCATCTATTGCTTAAGAAAACCTATTTATTTAATGGCTGATTTCGTGTATAATTAAAAGAACTACTTTTCAAGATCTATTTTCTTCCAGTCTTATTAGTAGTCTTATTAACTAATAATTCATATAATTATTGTAAGTTAGTCTCGGGTATCATAGATTAGTAGAATATATAGGTAGGTACGATGTATATTAATTTGATGAGCTTTGATGAATGCCAAACACCAGAATGGTGATAATAATTGTTGTCTTCTATGTAAACTAAGAACTAAGAAGATGTATGTAGAGCTTACCAAATAATTATAACAAATTTAATTTATATATACATAAGTCGTAAATACTTATACCTAATACAAAACATATTTTACTACAATATACACAATACACATACAGAGGTAACACACCTCTCAAAATATACCTATCATTTTTAAGAATATTGACACAGGTACATAATTCAAACAAATTTAGGAATATTTCCTAAACCTAGATTTCTTTTTAAGTATTTCTTTTAAATTATTCAAGAACTATTGATTTTGATAATTTAAAAACAGAAAATCAGTTTAGGTAATTTATATCTCATCCAATGTTTAATAATGATTGTTAATTAAAAATAATAGTTTATAGTAAAAAAAACAAACCGCAATCCATTAAAGAATTTTGAAATATTTTATTTTTCATTTGAAAAGAAATGCAGATGCAAATCACCTACAGTTCTATGTGGCCTATATAATTCTAGCCTCCTCCCCCTAAAAATAGGATAATATGGAGATGCTGCAGCCCCACTTGGATCCAATTCCTGTTCACGTCCGTAAATACAATTCAGCTGTAAACGAACTGTATATAAGTGGTACGTACAAAATATAATGTTACAGAGGGTAAAAGGGGATTGGCCTATAACGTTCAAAAATCGAAATGATACCAGTACCATGTATTACGCACACGATTTCTCAACCTATACCCATAGGTACAATTTGGGTTGAGGCTTGGGTGTGCTTAGCACCCCCCAATTTTGAAATGATCACCCCCAAATTTTTTCATTTGCATTTTAATAGTCATTATGCCGACATCCATAACCATGAGATAATTTGAAAAAAAATAGAGGGACTTCAGCACCCCAGTTTTTTTGCACTGAAATTGCTCCCTTGCAGTCCATATTAATTGTAAGTACCTATTTTACACTTCGGCGGGTCATATTATGGTTCACTCTTTCAATACTGTATTACTGCATGCAAACCATTCACCAAATCATGTTGTGAGTTCTATTAAAATAATATTTTCAACCACTACGTTTGATACGATATTGTATTAGTTATATATATATATATTACATAGTTTACCTGCAGGGTGTAGCGGACAGCTGACACGTTCTTAGTAGTAAGGGTTATCATCGTGTGTGCGGAGCCGACGGATTGATAACAATATGAAAATAGGAAAGTTTAGAAAGTTTTACAGCGTTGGTAGAAAGCGTGAACCTAACCGGATTGCGAGGTGGTGGAATGATGTGCGGCCAAGGCGTTACGGACAGCAATGCAACAACGCTCGGCCAGGGCGTTACGCGCACTAATGCAACAACGCTCGATACACACAACTTTGCTCACTATTATTATTATTATTGCTGTTACGTATTTCTGTCGTGGCGTTTTATACGCTCAAAGCGACCGTTTTTCGAATCGATGACTGTTAAGGCAGGTCTAGACAACGTCGGCAGTGTCGTCAGATGGCGCTGCCTGTCGTTGGTGACCTTTTTGAAAAACATAAAATTTATAATTTTTTCTTATTTCTGAATCTAGTGCCTAATATTATACTATTTTGGTACTTCCAGGGCTACGTCGACCTACGATGAGCCTATAATAGAAGGCAGAGAAAAAGTCCACGAAAAAAAGACCACAGAAAAAAAGCCTAAAAAAAAAAATTAAATATTGATGTGAACACATGTACCTATACTCTACTCCTAATTGGTAATTAATAATTCATAAATTATTATAGCCAATATAGGCAATTTTATATGTGGATATCTACTCAATTAATAAGAAAAATTTTTTTGACCTATTTATTCAATGAAAATTTTCAAGTAAAAAAATGTTATGTCTGAATATAGTTTATGCTTAAATATTAACTATATATTTAAAAAAAGTTGTAATAGTAAAAAAAAATTAAATATAAATATGAACATAATATACATAATATACAGTGTTAAAAGTTATAAGTAAAAAAATA